GCGCTCGCTATTTCTCCCCACGCAGCAACCGCGTTCGGTTCAGGGCCGCGGCAGAAACGCTGTAGGCGCAGGTGGCAGCCGACGTTTCGCGTAAAGCGAAAGCTTCCTGACTGCTCCCCCGCCCCGGTTTATGACCCGGCTCTCTTCGGAGGAGCGCACCTTGGTGAAGCGAGGACAGGCTCCGAACCGCGAGCGCCGCCGCGACCAATCACCGCTCCCTCGGGAGCTGCAAGCCGGGCGAGCTCTGTGCAGTCCTCACTCAGGTCGGACAGAGCCCGGCAACTGCGCGGCTCCTGGTCCTCCCGCCCGCCCCCTGCTCCCGCAGGTTGCTCGGCTTTGGGATTTACGAAGCGCGGGGGAAGCAGGGCGGTGGAGGGAGAAGCGGGCGAGAGCCGGGGAAAAGCGCTGAGGGGTAGACCGTGCTCGGGCGGGGCTGCGCGGTTCGGGGCGAGAACGCCATGAAGCGCTCCTGTTTGCTTCCCCTGGTCGCCCGCAAGAACGCTAACGGTGGGGAGGATGGTCAGCCTGGAGCTTTTTGCTGAGGAAAAAAAAAAAAAAAAAAAGCACACCGCCATCTCGAACTGCTTTCGATGCAGCCCCATTCCGCTGAAGTGCCTCGCAAGGAAAAATAGCAAGCACCGCCTATCCGGAACACGCTTATTTCGGGCACTTAAAGAGAACACCTGCACAGCTCGTTTATTGTTAAACCTCCCCCAAACCAGACACGAAAGCGAAGCGGGCTGCTGGAGTATTTTTAGCGAATCGCGAGCGTTCTCTGCTCCACTGAGGCAGATGTAGAACGCATCGCTTGCCGCGAACAGGTACATCCCGGGATGCTTACAAATGATAGCGCTTTCACGCTATTCTAGCTCCTTTCGTGAGAAGAACCTGGGACAGCTAAATCAACTCGCCACAGCATCAGCTCTATTACTGAAAAGGTAGGTGGCTCTTAAAAGAGCCTTTGGGTCGAGCAGGTCTGACTCAGGGCAGAGGCAGCTTACTTGGAGCTGGTGTACTTGGTGACGGCCTTGGTGCCCTCGGAGACGGCGTGCTTGGCCAGCTCGCCGGGCAGCAGGAGCCGCACGGCCGTCTGGATCTCCCGCGAGGTGATGGTGGAGCGCTTGTTGTAGTGCGCCAGGCGCGAGGCCTCGCCGGCGATGCGCTCGAAGATGTCGTTGACGAAGGAGTTCATGATGCCCATGGCCTTGGACGAGATGCCCGTGTCGGGGTGCACCTGCTTCAGCACCTTGTACACGTAGATCGAGTAGCTCTCCTTGCGGCTCTTCTTGCGCTTCTTGTCGCCCTTCTTCTGCGTCTTGGTCACGGCTTTCTTGGAGCCCTTCTTGGGCGCGGGGGCGGACTTGGCCGGCTCGGGCATCGCGGCGAACGCGCGTCTCTCGCTCGCCAACGGGACGCGCGAACCAAGCGCCGGGTAACGCCGCCGCCCGCGGGAGCCCTTTTTATAGCGGCGCTGGCAATGAGAGGTGACGAAGCCGCGCCTCCCACGGCCACGTGACTCATTGAGGCCGGAGAAGCGGGGGGCGGGGAGGACTTTCCGCCCCAGCCGCTGTGCGCTTCGGTCGGGTGCGGGACGATGTGTGTTGTGGGGGTGTGGAGCAATGTGTTTT